CAGCTCCACCGCCCTGTGCTGAAGCCTTATGGGGAAGCGATTGATGTTGAACTCCACATTGAACTTCAGATTTTTGACAAACTTCTGGAGAAGCCTACAAACACAGAACCAAAATATTTCATGTTCTTAAAGAAGACGGTCTGCTATTCGTTTGAAATAATATAACAATTATATATATATATATATATATATGTTTTTGAAAAGTCTGCATGTATCTGATTACCAATACAGCAAAAACAATGTATTATTACAATGTTACAAATAATACATTTATTCAAATGTAATTTATTCCTGTGATGGCAAAGCTGAATTTTCAGCATCATTACTTCATTCTTCTGTGTCACATGATCCTTCAGAAATCATTCTAATATACTGATCTAAAATACTCAAGAAATATTTCTTATTAATATCAATGTTGAAAACAGTTGTTCTGGTTAATATTTTTGTGGAAACCATGATTTTTTAATGAATAGATTGTTAAAAAGAACAGCATTTATTTGAAACAGAAATCTTTTGTAATGTTATAAAAGTATTTAATGTCACTTTTGATCAATTTAATGCATCCTTGCTGAATAAAAGTATTAAAGGTATAGTTCACCCAAAAATGAAAATTTTGTCATTAATTACTCACCCTCATGTTGTTCCAAACCCGTAAGACCTTCGTTCATCTTCAGAACACAAATTACGATATTTTTGATGAAATCGGAGAGCTCTCAGACCCTCCATAGACAGCAATACAACTGTAATGTTCCCAGGTCCAGAAACGTAGTAAGTACATCGGTAAAACAGTCCATGTGGCATCAGTGGCTCAACTTCAGTTTTGCGAAGCTACGAGAATACTTTTTGAGCGCAAAGAATACAAAAAAAACAATTTATTTAACAATTCTTCTCCCCCGAGTTACGTCTTCTGCCATTTTAGAGAGTATCACAATGCATACGCACACATCCCCCAAGTGTAAACAACGCTGATTACGCAGATTACGTTCATGCGCGCGCTTTTGGGTACTCTCCAAAATGGCGGAAGACGTAACTCGGGGGTGAATAATTAAATAAATTATGTTATTTTTGTTTTCTCTGGACACAAAAAGTATTCTCGTTGCTTCGCAAAACTGAAGTTGAGCTACTGATGTCACATGGACTGTTTTACCGATGTCCTTTTCTGGACCTGGGAACATTACAGTAGCGTTGCTGTCTATGGGAGGGTCAGAGAGCTCTCAAATTTCATCAAAAATATCTTAATTTGTGTTTCAAAGATGAACGGGTCTTACGGGTTTGGAACAACATGAGGGTGAGCAATTAATGACAGAATTTTCATTTTGGGGTGAACTAACCCTTTAATTTCTGAAAAAAACTAAAAAACAAATAAAAATTTCACTGACCCCAAACTTTTGAACAGTAGTGTATAAATAAAATTAGGTCTTTAATACAAAAACTTGTTAAAAACATGTTACAATGTGGTTACTATTCATGAAAGCTATGTATCATGTTCTCACTGTTTGAAATATTCTTACGTCTTGGAGAAGCCGAGTTTAACTCTCTCAAGTTCTACACTATGGACATAGCCTTCATAGACAGTGATGGGCTGGTTCCTGTCCTCTGACAAACAGACATTCATCTTATCTCCACGTAGTACGGACGGTCTGTTTTCTGCCACCCCAGGGACCTGAGTTAAAAACAGAGACAAAGTCATCAGAAAAAAAAATCTGTCCTAAAATTGTGACTGACATCATGATATCTGTAGCAACATCTGGCATGAATAAGAACACATCTGGTGTTAGATAATTGTGCTTCTCACTCACTTTGAGAATGAGCAACTTTTTGTTTGATTTGTCGAGGGACATGGTCTTGCCGTAGAGATCGTACTTCTTGATGTCCACCTCCATCTGAATCTCTTCCAGGTTTAGGAGGAGGTGAAAGCGTTCCTTGTAGTTCTTCATGCATAGCTGAGTGTCCAGCACTTGCCTGAGAACATACACACGTCAGTGACCAACGCACACTCAGAGAGAGCTGTATAACTATCTTTAAACATCAGTACATCAACACAATTTCTTTGCTCTAAAAGAGTCCATGCTTGCTTGCCTCACTCTGCGAAGATGCTGTCTTACTAGGGGTGAAAGGCGCTCGGAGTCCTCCAGCTTGTGTTTGGCCAACTTTTTCAAGTAGTCTGGGTAATGATATTGATTCAACTTCACCATAATCCTCAGAACATGTGTGATGAAACTATTAAAAATACAACGTAGAAAAGTGATTCAACAGTATTGAGCATGATAGATAGATAGACAGACAGACAGACAGACAGATAGACAGATAGATAGATCTAACCTCTCAGGTGGTACCCCTTCTTCCAGAATCCTGTTCTCCGGTCGGAGTCGTCTGTTCTGTTTGGGGTTATATGGACTCTCTGGGCCCAATGTCTCAGCTAGCCCAGACTGAACCACTGCCTCCAGTTCCCGGACTATGCAGAAGGGCTTAGCAGTACCTGGAGGATCTGCCTCTGGGCAGAACTCAAAGTACATGGTGGCTGGAAAGTGTCCATGATGGTGGACTTTGTAATGCACTTCAACAACATAACTCTCACCTAGCAGAGAGACATCAATTTGACGTTTTTGTGAGCATCTTATTTCATTTGTTCATCTATCTATCTATCTATCAGATGAGAGTCTCAGTATTTTTCTCACCTGGACAGAGGAGAAGAGGAGAAACTCGGTTCACTCTCCTCTCATCTACGAGAGTGAAGCAGCGCATCTTGTGCAGAGCTGTGTAGTATGTGAAGTACACGCAGCTCTCGCCACGGTTTACGATGTGAAACTTCACCACAAACAGCTTCCCCTGCTCCTTGATGATGAACGTAACCTTCCCTTTGGTGGCCTTGGGGTCAGAGGTTATTTCAACACCTCCTTTGTCTTTGATGAGTTCAGCTCTAAAAGAGAGACACACATGACAATGAGTTTTTTTTTTAAGTGAAATGTGCCACTGAGAAGGGAAGCCTGTGATCACATTCACATGATTAATTTTTCACACTGGCAATCTTGTTTTTCCTAGTTGGACACAAACAGGCCGAATTGTATCTCTGACGGTCACCGTTTCATTTTGAGTTTGTTGAGGATTTCTGAAGCAAGCTTCCTCTTCGGGGTCAGGACAGGTTTGGGGGAAGAGGATGCTGGGACAGATTCTGGGGCCGATGTGCTGGTGTTCTGCTGTGTGAAGGACTTCCACTGATCGCAGTAGTACACACGCACCTGTCAGAGGAGGAGAATAATGAGGAGGAGGAGAGACAAGAAAATGTCATATGATTTGTCTTCTTTGCTTAACATTCAAAATGAAATGGCTTCATGCATTAGTTAATCAGTGTGTCACATTTATGAGTACACTGGCAGATCTCAAAACTTACAGAAATGAATTAAAAGACACGAATAGGCTCATTTAAGCCTATTAACATTCACTGTTCGCTCTAACCTTAGGTTTCCACTGAAATATAACTTTTCCATTCCTTATAGTGGCTTTATTGCAACATACTAAGGCTCTGATCACATTGGAAAATGCGGGCTCTTTGCTTCCATCCCTGAAAAGCAAACAATCACATGCAACTAAGTTCAACCTGGAAAAACAAGGCTATTGCATCAATGTAGAATGAGACATGCTGAACCAGGACAGTGATATATATATATATATATATATATATATCACACACTAACAATCATAAATCAATGGCACACTATGTTTTATTCCAGACTTTTCAGATACAAAGACAAAATAAAGCAAAACCTGACATGAATGAATCTTGTAAAACAGATGTGCCAGACACTGAGCAGGTGACTCTGAGTCACAATTACAAACCTTTTGAACTCAAAGTTGTAAATATCCCGAAGCTCGTTTCTGTCTGTTTTCGAGATCCTCTGCCCCAGAAACTCCAGGAAGTCAAGCCCTACTTCGTATGTTGTTTTGAGAGAAGGCATCGTGCTGTTGTTTGTATGTCAGTACTTTATGTTTTGAATGGTCTCTGGACCAGGCGATTCCGGAATCGAAACTTGACAGTACGCTGTATAACGGTGACCAAGCAAGGGTACATCCGTAAATGATCGCATTAGGTGTTAAACGAAGGAGCCTGACATTTTCTTTTCTATTTATATAAATTACTTGACTACTCGAATGCTGAATCAATCCATAAACGGCTTAAACATAAAATGAGTCAATTGTTGCGTACATTGCGCAGTTAACGGTCAACAAATTTCATAATGAGAAATACAATTTAGTGACACTCCCTAAATCCGTTGCGTTACGTAAGATCCACAGAGGAGCGGCACTTTTCATGGATAGAGAATTATCTGGAAGGGGTTATTTAATTCAAAACTCAATGAGGATTGGTACATCTAGAACATATAAATCAGACATTTCTATTTCCGTCAAATCAGAGAAACATGAATATGCCAGTAGTCTTTTAGTGTATGCATAACCAAATATGGCTTGATTCAATTTTTGAGTAGAGGAATATATAATGGAAATGTAGGCATTAAATATGAACAGTTAAAGCAAGTTAAATTTGTTTATAATTGTAGTATTATAAACACATACAAAAGAAAATAAATCTGAATAAATATTTGGTATATCATACTTATAGAGAGGCTTTTTAAAAATACTTTGTATTGAGAGCAACAAACAATATACGTGTATAATAGGAATTCAAGATCATAAACAGGAGACAAAATAAAATAAACAAACAAGATCTTCTACGCCTACAGGTTATAATAGTGTAAAGGATGATACAAATGACTTTGAAACAATTTTTTGACACATTTTGATTCAGTAATGGTTTATAACTTTGTATCAAAATGCATTGATTCATTGTTTTGATTCAAAATATTATGAAAAACATTTTATCCGTGGGGTCAGTGAGAAAACATATTTTCTCAGCACACAAAGTGCAATAGACAAACCTCAATAGCTAAATATAATGTTAAGTACGTAAATATGTCATTTTGAACTCTTTTGTCATGTTTATGATTGTTTTCCCGTCATGCAGTTTGACAGGGCAGGTCCAGTTGAGCCAAGATGGCGGACTTTGAAGAACAGCTTTCCGACGAGGAGAAGGTATGTGGTTATCGATTCAGGCTTCCTGGTTGATTTTCCCTTCTCTGTTATTGGGATGTGTACAACTTATATATTGTCATAAACATGTCATAAATGTTATTACGCGCATGGGATGTTATAGAGTTGTCTAAATCCGCGATGAAGAGCGTGCTAAGGAAGCTAGCAAGCTAACTGAAACTCGATCTAATCGATGAACGCACTCCTCATAGACGCTAGACTGTGTTGATGGTGACTGAGATTAATATTATTAATAGTTAACTATTGTATGTAGAAAATGTATTATATTAGATCATATTTGCGGTTTCACATCAACATTGAAAGTAGTATTGAGTTTACCGACTGTTAGAGGCTTGGACTGGTACATCCAAATCAGGAAAAAATCACTTCATCAAGATTAACAACTTAATTTAGACAACATTATAAAAAAAAATCGTATATATTTGCGTCCATGCACTTATAATAATTTGTCACAACTTAGTCTCTCATGACTAAGTTAATTTTTTTTTATTTTTTTTATTACTTTTCATATAAAACTTATTTAAGATCAGTTTTCTCTTGTTGCTATGTATTGTTTCTAATAGTATCCTGCATGTAAATGGCTACATTTAATTTGTCGTTTTAGATTAATGTAATGAGATCAAGGGGAAGTGTTTTCTTTGCCCTAAAACAGGGGCGCAACCTCAGCTCTGGTCTTGTTTGTATTCTCAGCTGAGTGTCGGTGACCCAGCCCTCATTCTGCATGCTCTTACATGCGAGCGGCTCTTCCTGTCTCACGCCCTCACCCTCTGCTACCGAGCCGCTGCCAGTCATGGGCTGTTCTAATGTGCGGACTCGCCCCTCCGCTTCTGCAAAGTCGAAACAGTCGTGTTGAGGCCAGTTGAAGGTGGAAAGAAGCATTTCAGAAATGCTTAGATGTGGAAAACTTGTTGCAGCTGCAAACTACTCAAGATTGGGTAGATGTGATATTTAGATTCCACTGATATATTGTTTAGCACACCAGTGGGAGCAAAACACACACAAAAAAACACCTAAAACAATTCAATTGTTAGTCATACTTATAGGAAAATATTGAGCATAAGTGTCAAACACATTAATTAGTATTGGTATAATTTGATAGTCTTAAGATGTTTTTGTCATATTAATTGAAAGCTGTTTTCTGGTAATTGAGCAGTTTCCTTCCTACTAAAAGTGAACAAGATGGAGAATTCAACTACAAATTTTTTTTTATTTTAGTATAGCATCAGAAAATGCTGGGGTTTTTTTTATAGATTGAGTGATTTGTAGATTTTCATCAATTGCAGGCATTTATATTCTGTCAGTTATTATTGTGTGTGCCAGTTGTTAATGCAACTACAGTAATGCATTGATTTCCCCTCATTTACTTGCAGTACTTGTTTGAACATGTGACTAGTCAGGGAAACCAAGAATGGCAAATATTTTTGTCATCTTCTTGTGATTGTTTTCTACATACAGATTGAATTTAGGGTTTAGAAATGCTATCATGCAAGAAAACTTTACAAAACTCTTTTTCACACACATGCTGTATCATTTACTGGCCATTTTGATTTCTTACTGTTCATAAAATGGTGTTTTTTTAATATTTATTTATATAAACTATACACTTTTTCTACTACCGTTGAAAAGTTTTGGGTCAGTAAGATTTTTTAAAATGTTTTTGAAAAGTCTCTTTTACTCACCAAGACTGCATTTATAATAAATATATTAATATTGTGAAATATTATTAGAATATTTTTTTTTTATTGTAATGCATTTTAAAATCTAATTTATTTCTGTGATGCAAAGCTGAATTTTCAGCATCAATACTCCAGTCTTCAGTGTCACATGATCCTTCAGAAATCATTCTAATATGCTGATTTGGTGATCAATAAACATTTTTGACTATTATGAAAATTGAAAAACATTGCACTTTTTAATATTTTCTGCGGAAACAATTTCCTTATAGAAATCCTTTGATTAATGTCACGTTTGATCGATTCAATGCATCCTTGCAGAATGAAAGTATTAATTTTTTACTTTAAAAAAAAAAATACTGACTCCAAACTTTTGAATGATAGATTTTAGGTTTGTCTCAGTGACAACAGAATTATATAGCTGTTTTTTCCTTGCGTATTTGTGAAAAACAATATAGGAAATGGCACCCATCAGAAAAACATGGTTTTTCTGCACACATTTTAGCTGTGATTCAATGAGTGTTTTGGAGAAATAGAACTGTAGACATCCTAGATAAGATAACATCTAGACTTTACACAGAATTTAAAGTTGTTATATGATGTATAAGTAGTATCACATTTCCTTCAGATCTGCAAATTGATTTAAACCATTATGTTGCATTTCCAAATAACAACCAGCAAATTGGCTATTTTCGTTGTGATTTATTTATTCTAATTTAAAGCATGACTATACAGGAGGTCTTTACAGTATTTGTTTGTTGTTGGTCTGTTATTGTCACTGGTTTGTCAGTGAAGACAGACCCTGTTGAGGTTTCCACTAGGGTTGTGCCGATAGACGATAGTATCGTGTATCGACGATAGTATCGTGTATCGATGATAGACAGAGATATCGCCTGTGGCTGATGCCTTTGACGATAGCAAGACGATGATTATTATTATTATTATTATTATCAGGCTAGTAATACTATCTAATTAATATTAGGGCTTATTTGTTGCATTATATTTCTTCGCGTTTTTACAGTATTGCACATTCTAACCAATCACACACGATTATGCTGAGCTTATGAATGCAATGGCCAATCAGAGGCGTTCAGATGAGTCATCACTGAAACAGCGGAGTTCTGTTGGTCAGCGCGCACTAACTGAATTCTGACTCGCAAATTCTCTCATTATAAACAACAAAGTGCAGATGTACGTGCGATGTAAGTATAAGAGATTTATTCATCATATAGTGTAGATTCACTGAGTTTAACGGGAGTGTTTTTAAAATGCATAAACTCGCGCTAGACTGAGCTTGTGATGATGTTCTTTGGTAATGTAATGTTCTTTGCTCGTTTTCTGCAACATTAGCTGCTTTTTGAGTAACTGAGGGAATGTAAGCATTATAATTAGTAACTTACGATGTTTCTATTAATTTGTTATCATGTTAAATACAAATTCAGTCATATTAAAAACGTTAGGCTGTTGTTTCACGTTCTCGCAATGAAACGAAGTAAATAATTACATAAATTAGCACGATAATATCGTGTATCGACGATCTCACAGGCTGACGATGTGAAAACTGAGCATATCACCCAACACTAGTTTCCACGTTCAGGAGTGCTGGAATGGTCCAGAATGGGAAACAGCCATGGAGCCAGAGCTGGACTCAGTGTCACTGGCCCTTAATGCTTACATGTGCACTGCTAAGAAAAGCCTCAATTCTGCAGCCTTCTAAGGAGTGACACAGAGAGGGCTCAATGTATCGTCACAGGCAGCATTTGACCTGTTTTCGATAATACCACCTTCATTTAGCTGAAATACGGAATTTAAGTTGTTTTTGGCTCTAAGAGTCTTTGGAAAGGCTGTGGTTCCTAAAAATAATTTGTGTATGCATGACACCACTCCACCTATTCTTGAACATGACCGTTTTTCTTGGTTAGTTTTGAAGTGTTAGATGTTTTCTGCAAGCGTAGGTTTTGAGTAAACACGGACACATCTGTAGTGAGTTTTGCATGTGCAAACACTGCTCACGTTATCTTCATTAGTACTTTTGTTTTCCTCAGGTCCGCATTGCTGCAAATTTTATCATCCATGCTCCCCCTGGAGAGTTCAACGAAGTCTTCAATGGTAAAATATTCATGCAACATGTATACAGGCATCAAAAAGACCAAACAATAACTTATTCAGACAGTTTGGGGTTGGTAATATTTTTTTAATGTTTGTGTAGGAAGTCTCTTATGCTCTCCAAGGTTACAGTAATATGTGAAATATTATTACAATTTAACAGTTTTCTGTTTTAATATATTTTAAAATGTAATTTATTCCTGTGATGCAAAGCTGAATTACATCCAGCATCATTACTCCAGCCATCAGTGTCACATGATCCTTCAGAAATCTTGTTAATATGCTGATTTGCTGCTCAAGAAACATTTTTTTTTATTATTATTATCAATGTTGACTTGTGGTGCTTCATATTTTTGTGGAAACCATTACATAAAATTTTTTTCAGGATTCTTTGATGAATAAAAAGTATTTTTTGTAGCATTTTGAATGTCTTAATTGTCACTTTTGATCAATTTAATGCGTCCTACTGAATAAATGGTATTAATTTCTTTCAAAAACAAAACAATTCTACCTGACCCCAAGTTTTTGAACAGTAGTATACTGTATGTTAGGAGGAATTACATTATATTTTTATGTCACAACATGAATAGCTGACATCATAATGTTTTCATGATATCACATGACGTCTTTTCTTTGGTTTCAGATGTGCGGCTACTGCTCAATAGTGACAGTCTGCTCAGGGAAGGGGCGGCTCAGTGAGTAGCCTGTATTCATTACAGTATATGAATGCATATTGTATTACTATCTTCCCTGTCTCCTTCATAAGCCTGTTTTCTGCAAGCAAAATAGATCTAGATTCTCTTCAACAGATGCCATGAGTACGCAACTAGTTATCAGTGTCTCTTTCACTTTAGATTCCCCTTCACTATATGAATAGATCTATGGAGAAGTGATATATTTAGCTTTGTGGCTTTATCAAAAGTCCTTTGTTTAGATGAGATCAAATTTTATGAAACATTTTTTCTGTTTGTGACAGAGCCTTTGCCCAGTACAACATGGATCAGTTCACACCTGCGAAACTTGATGGAAGTGAAGATCAGGTGATTATAACAGTTACTGTTGAAGTTAAAATAGACTCTTATTAATTTCTTAACATACATTCACATGGTCATATTGTGCACAGTTTACCAGTACACATTATTCCAAAGAAACTGATGTTGAAACAAGCACTGCCTCTCAAACAACTTTTTGTCACCTTAATATATAATAGCCTCAATAGCCAAAAAATTTCTACAACTTTCCACGGTTGGAAAGAAGTTTCCATTTAAACTGAATGTTGTATTAAATTGTACTTAAACTGCTTCCAAACTGCAGGTTTTGATCACAGAGCATGGAGACCTTGGTCATGGCCGGTTTTTTGACCCTCGTAAGAAACAGTCGTTCAAGTTTGACCACCTGAGGAAAGAGGCAAGTGAACCACAGTCTCATGAGGGTGAGGCGGCCCTCAGGCCGTGGAGGGATGCTTGTGACGAAGCTCTGAGGGCGTACGTCAAAGACCATTACCCCACTGGAGTCTGCACTGTGAGTTCACTAAAGCATTTTCATTTGTTAAAGGAATAGCTTAATAAAGCAGTTTCTAAGTGTGAGTGTGTTTTCTGCCACATTTTTGCTGACATATTCTTGTATTGTTTTTAGGTTTATGGGAAAACCATCGAGGGACAGCAAACCATCATTGCCTGTATTGAGGGTCATCAGTTTCAGCCTAAAAATTTCTGGTAATTTCTTTATCAGTTTTTGTTATTTTAGTACTTAAGCTATATGAAAATGTAACTGGCTGAAATAAGATAAATGTAAGTTTTTTATTATTTAAATACATTTTATTTCATTTTATTTCGTTTAAACTTTAGTTAACTATATACGTTTAGTCATGAAACTAGATGGCGCAGGCTGATGGGTTGTTAACGTAACTGATGATATTCAGAGAGTTAAAGGGGTCATATGATGCTGCTAAAAAGAACATTATTTGGTGTATTTGTTGTAATGAAATGGGTTTATGCGGTTTAAAGTAAAAAAAAAAAAAAAAACACAATATTTCCCACATACTGTACATTATTGTTTCTCCTCTATGCCCTGCCTTTTTGAAACTCAAAAAATTCTTAAAAATCGATTTTTACAAAGCTCATCGTCTGAAAAAGCAAGGTGTGCTATGATTGGCCGAATGGTAGATATGTGGGGGCGTGTTCGAACGAGCCATTTTAGGTAGGCGTGGTTAACTCTTAACTTTTATAAAGAATATCTCTTTGGATTTGAGACTTTAGTCTTTGCAAATTTACAGATCTTCTTTGTGCACCAAGAGCTTGTAACACTCCAAAGACCCGATATGAATATCGGATAGGCGCATCCCTAGACATAATATTGTTCTTGTAAACGGTTTCCATTTAAAATGTACGTACATTTACCAATCATTTTCAGAGAAATTTCCACATGACCTTGGTGTTTGTCAAAAAACACTAGGTAATTTGACTGAATTTTTACAGGAGTGGTTGGAGAAAAACACCAACATCCTTGATTTGGACAGCAATAAAATCGCAGACTAGTCCCTGTAAATGCTGAAAATACCTTACGTCCCCATGAGAAAAATGTACAGTCTGAATATGTATGATTTCCCAGGATGCACCCATTGAAGTTGGTTGAGAGAAAGCTTGTTGCACTAAACTGTGGAATAATAAAGAATTGGGCGTTACTAGACTTTTGTCTGGTAATCTTAACACATTAAAAACCACAGTAGTTGTTCACTCTGTTTTGTATGCCTGACGCAGTTACTGGCTTTGTTCCAAGTATGATATATGACCTTTATATGTGTGGAATGAGCTCTGCCTCCACCCAGATCATGACCCTACTGTATCTAGTAGGGCTGTAAAAAAAAAAAACGAATTTCAAATATTCGTTGAATTTAAACAAAAAAATGTTGGTATGCGTCAGTCGTCAGGCAGCCTTATCAGTGGCGCACGAAATGCGACGACGATGTAAGTGTCATTTATATACTATAAAATTTAAATACATTTCTTTTGAATCTATAGCATATTTTTTAATAAGGCAACAACATATGATAGATACGATAGGACAAAACAAATACAGTGCAGCACAAACTGTTTTTATACAGTCTATGAGCACGAAGCGCTTACAATGTGCACATCCGGTGTGCAGAATGATGACGTCACAGCCTGACGCCGTAGCCTATCCAGTTGAACCCACTAGATGCGGCGCTGCTACTACGTTGTTCATTCAATATATAGCAGAAAACGAGAGCATCAGTGTTGCGAATATGTTGTTTACGGCGAAACTGAAACCAAGCCGTTCACACAGAACGAATATTTATCACATTTTCTAGCGGGGCGTCTATCAGCGTTGCACAAGAGAGCGGCATGTTTAGAAAGCCATGTAAAATTAATGTAAGTTCAACTTTTAAAAAAACATGTCTCAAGACTTTATGCCGGTTTTCCCCCATCCCACTCTATCTCATGTTTTTAAATGAAGAAAGTAGCCCACTCTTTGTGATTGGTTTTTGGTCCTTTGTATTAAACTATACATACATGCATGGTGCTGGGTTTTTTTCTAATTGTTTAAGCAACTTTATTAATTATATATGGTTTATAAACATTATGCATTTTTTTCAGAGATAGTCATGTTATTTTATTATGCTTTGAAGAAACTTGCATAATATTTTGCTCGATGCGCCCTCTTGTGGCCTCAGGAGAGAAGCCAAAAGCTTTTTTCCCCTAACTGAAATTATGCCTTTTAAATTCAAATATAATTAGAATTTTGCTCATATTTCAGTGGAAAAGTCATTTTGACAGCCCTAGTATCTAGAGACTATTTAAGTAACAATAATTTGCACAATCGAAAAAAAAATAAAAAATCTCGGATTTGTATCGGCCTTCTCTGACCGATACCCGATCCAAGAAAAATAGCACTATCGGAGCCGATACCCGATATGAATATCGGATAGGCGCATCCCTAGACATAATATTGTTCTTGTAAACGGTTTCCATTTAAAATGTACGTACATTTACCAATCATTTTCAGAGAAATTTCCACATGACCTTGGTGTTTGTCAAAAAACACTAGGTAATTTGACTGAATTTTTACAGGAGTGGTTGGAGAAAAACACCAACATCCTTGATTTGGACAGCAATAAAATCGCAGACTAGTCCCTGTAAATGCTGAAAATACCTTACGTCCCCATGAGAAAAATGTACAGTCTGAATATGTGTGATTTCCCAGGATGCACCCATTGAAGTTGGTTGAGAGAAAGCTTGTTGCACTAAACTGTGGAATAATAAAGAATTAGGCGTTACTAGACTTTTGTCTGGTAATCTTAACACATTAAAAACCACAGTAGTTGTTCACTCTGTTTTGTATGCCTGACGCAGTTACCGGCTTTGTTCCAAGTATGATATATGACCTTTATATGTGTGGAATGAGCTCTGCCTCCACCCAGATCATGACCCTACTGTATCTAGTAGGGCTGTAAAAAAAAAAACGAATTTCAAATATTCGTTGAATTTAAACAAAAAAATGTTGGTATGCGACAGCCTTATCAGTGGCGCACGAAATGCGACGACGATGTAAGTGTCAAAATATATTCAAACAGAAAACGGATCATTTGAACTGTAATATTTCATAATATTACTGATTTTACTGTATATTTATTATATTACCAAACCCCAACTTTTGAACTGTAATTTATATTAACGCCATTTCGAGTGGATTTTCTTTACTAAGCCTTTTTCTTTAATTGGTATTAATTATAATTGTGAATGTTGGATGTACAGTTTGGCTTGCCAAAATATACTCTTCATTTAGCTTCAAAATGTCACTACAAATCTCTTTTCCCAATTTCCCAAAGCTTACTATGGCAACATGAGAATGCTAATTTAGATAAACCATCAGTTAAACACCTGATGTTCTTCCTTTTCCTTTTAATTTTGTTGTGCTAGTGCCATTTGCTTGCTTTCTTTCACAGTGTAAAATATGAAATTGCCCTGTGAATCCTTTTCATTCTGACCAAAATTAAATAACAAAACCATATTTTTATCAAAAAATTAAACCCACTAAAAAATCTAAACAATTACAATTTCTGAAATTCTTTTGTAACTTCTTTTTAGGAATTATGAGTGAGCAAATTAGCCACTTTTGGTTATGTAGTGATCGTTTTTGTGCTTCTGTTTCAACAGAATGAGGTACAGACTGCCAAGGAGTTTGTCAAAATCATCGAAAATGCTGAGAACGAGTATCAGGTTTGTTGATTTGGATTGGTTAGTCCTTATTTTACAGTACTGCGAGTGCATGTTAGTCTTGATGGAGGAAGAAATGAATTATTATATATTACCTGATTAGATCTATAAGGTGTGAAGAACCATACAGTGAGATTTCCCCTGCCGTTTGTCTTCCAGACGGCCATCACTGAGAACTACCAGACCATGTCTGACACCACCTTCAAGGCCTTACGCCGGCAGCTTCCTGTCACCCGTACCAAGATCGACTGGAACAAGATCCTCAGCTACAAGATCGGCAAAGAGATGCAAAACGCTTAGACACACGGCATGCCTTCGCTCCTGCTCGCGTTACAGGCAAAGAGACAAGCTACGAGGGGCCCATATCTAAACCTGAATCCAGGGCAGGGCCAAGGCGAGAAGGTCCTTCAAGAAGTGTGCTAAAAATGTGTCTGTCCTTTTTTTTGTTTGTTTTCCAGAAGCCACAGTTTGACCTCAGCTGAAGAGACTGCCTCCTTTTCTGTATCGTAGGAGGGCTGCAAGCTTGTTTTAATGGGTTTAGCAAACGTTTTTGCTATTGAACAAATACCTCCCATGACACCAGTGTACAGCATCATAAATAACCCCCCCTATTATCACTTACTTCACCCCCTAGATCAGCATTCCCAATGCTTGACACACACACTGTACTTTTTATTGCACTTAGCCCATATGATCAATTGAGTCTATTTTGTTTACTTTTTTTAGCAACTCGACTCAAAGTTTTACTTTGAGTCATAAGATATAATTGATCAATGTGTAGCCCATCAAAGCTCTCTGGCTGGTTATAAAGAATGTCTTGACACCAGTTTATCATCACCATCTTGTTTTCCAACGTAACAGTTGGTCTTTTTTGAAAGCAATGTTGTAAGGTGCCATCATTTGAATGTGCTGTCAGTTGATCACAGCGAGGGTTGTGCCAAAGTGAGCATTGTATTTGTACAGTAATTCATTTCAGGGTTATTGTTCTGTGTAGAAATGGTCCCATCGTCGTACTCTGGTGTCTAAGAGTGGTATATATACTGTATGCAGTTACACAAAATATTTGTTACCCCTCACTTCAGCCTCCTACCCTAGCTTTTATTGCTAACTATTTTTTACAAAATGTAAGAACAAATATGATCCCAGAGGAATAAATGATTTGCACCAAACTGACTTTATTGCTATTATTATTTTTTATAATATGGTGTAACATCATTTTAATGTCACAATATTATATATAATGTTAAAATGCTCTGATGTCAATTTGATTCTGTGTCATTTAGTAATGCGTCATAATTTCTGGAATTTGGCCCTGAATCATTTCATTTGTTGATTATGATATTCATAATTATTTTAAGGATTACTGGGTTTTGTTTTAATTATGTATTTTGTTAACGTGTTATGCATAAGAGATTATCATCATCATCAAATTATAATAAATTCTGTAACTGGTGCATTAAAATATAATAGTTAAATTGTGCATTTCTACACCCCTGCTCAATTTGCTAGAATATTTGTTTGGTTATGCTATTAAAAAAGGATTTAAAAAATGTACTTTATACCCATGTACATCAGCCTCAGAAATTAAGTTTTTAGGTTTATACTTTATATATATATATATTTTTGGCAAGTGTTGATAATTATCCTCTGAATTGATTACCTTTTATTAGGGATTTTTCTAAGATGTGTCATTCATGTATGCCAAATACTGAATTTGAATCCATTATTTGAGCTGACAACAGAAAATTATAAAATATGGGCATTGTTTGGGGAGTACTAAGCATGTATATAACAGTATATACTCCTGAAATAGTGATAGTAGTATGTTAGAATGCAATTCTGAGCATATATTTCTCTATGCACTTAAAATTTTTTTGTATACAACAGCATAGACGGCACATTAAGCTAGTATTCTATTCTGAATTTCAAACAGTCGTTATAGAACTCTTGGGTATACATGAACAGGAGCTGCGCCCTCTGATGGAGAGCGTCGGTACAGCATTCTCCTCCACTATCCCACAATTCTAATGTTTACGGCTAGTCGGTGAAAGATGGCGGACAGCAGTGGCAGTAATCCTCAATCACCCGGGTTCACGGAGAAATTAAAATCGTGGCTCTGCTGGTCGTGGACGTACATATGTACGCTCTGGTTCGCCATGGTCTTAACGATGGTTTACGTGCTGAGGAGCCCGCTGAAGCTGCAGGAGACCGTCAACGCAGGTGTGTGTTTACGATCAGCTGTGGGGTTGTTTACTACTCAACGCGGGGTATCTTTCTATTCACTGAAGGAAAAATTCACACAAATATGAAAATGCTACCATTATTTCTCTCGTCTCCATGCAAACCCATTTGAGGGGGTATCATTTTTTTTCGAATATGAAAGGAGAAATGTTGAAGTCAGTGCTGGTTTTCCATGCAATGTCAATGAATGGTGACTGAAGATGTCAAGTGGCCAAAAGGACTCTAAATTGTCATTAGGTATCATAACAAGTAGTCCATACGACTCGTGCATTATATTACAAGTCGTTTGAATTCATACTATATCATTGTGAGAGAAACAGACATGCATTTCAATTCGTTACTGATGAATTGAATGTGATGTTTACTTCAGATAAAAGCAGCTGTCAAATGCAAGTCTAGAACAATGTAGGTTATGTTTTATGCATTAATTCCATGCACTGAAGCTTCAATCCTATATCTCACAATTTGTTGACATTTTGTTTTGTTATGGGTATTGATATCCACAAATGCATATCATTTTTACACAGTACAGTGTGCATGTGATGTTTGAGTAGTTATTCAGAATATTTCTGAAACTTCTGAAAGCATTATTCAGAAGAGGAATTTATCAAGACAATGTGCACAATACATAAAATGGAAATATTTTTATGCAAGATAGATTAGGTTTAATCATCATTATTAGTTTTTATACTAAAGACATTTTTAAAAGTTGTATGCAAATAATCAAGTAACTTGTCGCCGTGTTTTACGTGTTGTGTTCAAAATAAAATGTTGAAATACATAATTTTTAAAGCTTTGTTTTTAAGATCATAGAGTTTATAAACAGATGTTGACTACATATAGGTATGGGTTTTGTAAACGAATGAACAAAACAGTCTAACAACAGTCTTACACGAACAAAGCTTCTCTTCAATAACTCAGCTTCAAATATAATATATATTATATGAAATATATTTCAGGTTTTCATTTTTTTTAAGTACAGTGTGCATGTAATGTTTGAGTAGAAGCATTATTCAGCGGTTGATTTTCAAATGAATTTTAATATAAATAAAAAATGTAATAATTTTATAACCATAATTATTCAAGATGTGAGTTTAGTCATTCTTTTTAAAGAGTTGTAAGTAAATGTATGGCCATTTTAAATGAGTTTTATGAGTTATAATAAAAATTATTATTTATTTAGAATCTACTAAATACATCCCCACACACACATACAAAAAAAAAAAAAAAAATATATATATATATATATATATTTGAATGGTTTAGCTTTTTTCCCCAGTGACTTTAAATTGCTGAAGCATTTTTCAAGATCAAGAGTTATCAGTAGATGTTTACTATACTGATTGATTGACAGGTGATATATATATATATATATAGTATGAGTATATAAAAATGATTATAATTTCTTTGTCTTACTATATTGTTATTTGTCCACAGCATCTGTGTTTTTAAACACTCTTACGCCGAAATTCTATGTTGCGTTGACTGGAACCTCGTCGCTCATCTCGGGCCTCATATTGGTGAGTCTTTTTCTCGGCTTTGGTACTTAATTAAATAAGTAATAATAATCATACTAAACAACTAACTTCAGTTTCAAAGCTGTGTGAAATCACACTGTTTGTGTCTGTCTTCAGATATTTGAGTGGTGGTACTTCAGAAAGTATGGCACGTCCTTCATCGAGCAGGTGTCTGTCAGTCACTTGCGCCCCTTACTGGGAGGAGTGGAGAACAGCAGCTCTGCGGGCCTCTTCTCCTCAGTAAACGGCGATACCGAGCCGAGAACCAACGTTGCAGGTTTTTGAAAGTTACTGGCTACATGTTTATCTTTCTAAATATTATGAAGGAAATATCTTTTTCTTTTTCTTTCAGAATGTAAAGTGTGGAGAAACCCACTGAACCTATTCAGAGGTGCCGAGTACAGCAGGTATATTGTTGGACGTTTCCTAAACGGTTTCAGTTCATTTCAATAATATTTGAATTGAATTGACTTCCATTATTTAAAAAATTCATATTCATTAATGATCCTTTCATTCCAGGTACACTTGGGTGACAGGAAAAGAGCCCCTGACATACTACGACATGAATTTATCAGCACAAGATCATCAGACCTTCTTCTTGGGAGACACTCAGCAACTTAGACCAGAGGACTCTGGTTAGTCTCATGCTCTTTCACCTAAAACAAAAAAGCCTAGATTTACTCCGAACTGATGTTTTATCATGATTGCTATCTCTCTTGCTTGTTCTGCAGTAATGCAAAAGGCCTGGAGGGAGAGGAACCCACAGGCACGTATTCGAGCAGCTTACCAGGCAATTGAGCTGAACCGCGAGTGAGTTTCAAGCATACTTACAATTATATTCAATTTACCCTCTTCAGACGTGGCTCATCTGGTCAGATTTGACAGCTGCAACCATCCACTTAATAAACAGCAATAAAAATGCATGAACTAGGGATTCACAGTATGATGGTACCATTTTGCTTATTTGCTTATTTTTCTTTTATTATACTGTATTCGTCCATATTGGATATTTAAAAAGGAATGCTCACTTAAAGGGGTGGTTGACTTTTTTTTTTTTATAGGCTTGATTGTGTTTATGGGGTGCAGTGTAACATGTTAGCTTTTAATATACGGTTTTATTCTGATTAAAGCTTTAATACAGTTCGGCAACCGCACGCGCATCCATGTATAACGCTTCTCATAACTATAGTATGTGAAAATAAGTGTATTCACTGAGCTGAATGAGAGAGAGAGAGAGAGAGAGAGATGCAGAGCGTGTGCAGAGCAGGGCGAGGCCAGGAACAGGATGAGAACATTGCTTTAGAACATTGATTTTGAAACTTGTGAATCCATTAGAATCGTTAGAAGACAGAATCGTGATTCATATATGAACAGATTTTTACGTGCACCTCTAGTTTTCTCTTCCTCTTCTCTAAAGCAGCGCAGCATGGCCTCGCCCCCTTTGTTGCGTGTTCCCGGAGGCAGGGTTTATGTAAAATTCTGGGTTCTTGACGTAACGGACCCGGGAAGTAACTCGTTGTAGTCCCTTACCAGTCGTTTTTGTAGGCATTAAACCGCCAGAATTTTAAAAGACGATATCTCCGTTTGCATTGAACTTTCAGCTTCGTAACTTTGCAGATATTGTTTATGCTCAAACAGCAACATTACAACTAACTAACATTAAAAAAGTGAAATCGCAATCAACCACCCCTTTAAATCTAATCTTAATAAGTTAATACAGTTAAATGTAATCTTTAGCAAATCTCAAAATAAATATAAATTTTTCATAATGTGCATTATAATGATGATGCCTAAATTCAATTGTAACTTGTCATTTTAAAATGACCTTTTTTAATTTTAAGTGTTATATTGTTAATTTATTTAAATACACATCAGCATGAAATTGTAATATAAGACATGTATTGTTATTTAATTACTCGCTTTCTGTGTCAGCCAGAATAGGGATTTTACTTTTTGTAACTCTCTTTTATTTTATCATATCGGACAGTATTGGATATTTAATGATGTATGCTAATTTCCTCTGTTACTTAAAGATAATCTTTAAAAATATAATAATAATTTAATAACACTGTTAAATGTAATTTTTTCATATTCATTTTTCATATTGTGCATTATAATGAATGTCAGCTTTTATTATTTCTATATATATAACAGTATGTTATTGTAATATAAGCCATATATTGTAATTGACCATAAGATAGAAATAATTACTCTGCCTTTTCTGTGTCTGACAGAATTTTATCATCAGTGCATCTCTAATGTTAATACCGAAGGTACTTTTTCTGACTCTCAAGCATATGACTCATTCATTGCAGATGCGCTGCAGCATATGTGCTTCTGGCCGAGGAGGAAGCCACAACCATCACAGAGGCTGAACGGCTTTTCAAACAAGCGCTTAAAAATGGTATGAAACTTTCACACTGTCACACATATATGCTCGGCACACAGTGACTCACACTGTCGATCATTCTCGTTGCTTTCACAGCCGGCAAAGACACCAATCTTGTGGTCTACATCAAGCGCAGACTGGCCATGTGTGCTAGAAAACTGGGTCGCATCAAAGAAGCTGTAAAGATGATGAGAGATGTGAGCGAAGCAATGTACCACTTACAAAGTTTAGTTGTTGTGGCTGTAAAAAGTGTGTTTTGTAATGATTATCTGATGGGGCTTATGACTTGCCACATTGACTTTTTTATAGAAATTGTTTTACAGTAAATTAGATTTAGATTTCTTCTTTTTGGCCCAACAAATGAGTCTAAATGATTTTCTGTGGCTTTCCACAACATGATTGAGCGTTCCTGTGACTTTAGAGCAGGTATAAAATTGATTCAAGCTTTCTCTGTTCAATTTTACAAAAAATTAAAACTCCAAAACATATTGTCACTCCATATCTGTGGAATATTCTCAGGGCAAATTTACACACCTTAACATTTTCTTTACAATTCTGCTCCATTAATAAATATTAACTGAAAGAGAAACAACAGTAGATTTTAAAATGTAAAAATCTGATGTAGCATATGAAATCTTATAGCATTTAAAAAAAAAAATGTTGCCTAAAATTTTGATTTTTATAGTTTATAAAAGAAATCCTCAGTGTAAGATGCCATCCATGTAATTCTAGAATATATTCTGTGATCATCAGAGTAATTTCTGATACAAGAAATTGATTAATTTTAGATACCTTTTTTTTGTGAATACATTGCAGCTCAGCCTTTAATTGAAATGTAGCATACTAATGTCACTGGACTGGACAGATTTGTTTTATTTTGTAAGTGGCATCTTGTACTTAATTATGCTCTATTGCGTAATTGTTATTTTCTTGTTTCTTTGTACAGTTAATGAAAGAATTCCCCTTATTGGGAATGTTAAATATTCATGAGAACCTTTTAGAAGCATTATTAGAGCTGCAGGCCTATGCTGATGTACAAGCAGTCCTCGCAAAATATGACGGTAAGCTCATTCAGCTGTCATGTTACATTACATTTCAGACAGGACCAGGAAGTGATGCCAGTATCATTTTATTAACTATCTGATGTTTCCCGCCTCAGATATCAGCTTGCCAAAATCAGCTACTATATGCTACACATCTGCCTTACTGAAAGCCAGAGCAGTGTCAGATAAGTAAGTCCAGTATTGAATAGTATATTACGGTATCATAGCATAGGTGATGTTTATGGATTATTTTTGTTGAATGAATCTGTATGTGTGTCGTATGGCAGGTTTTCACCTGAAGCAGCGTCTAGACGAGGTCTCAGCACAGCAGAGATGAACGCAGTGGAGGCCATACACAGAGCTGTGGAGTTCAACCCACACGTACCAAAGGTTCGAAAGATTCTTTTAAAGGGTCCAAAATTAACTTTCTGCATCGCATGACAATGGCCTGTGAAATGAGAACATTTGCAGATTTATTACTGTATTTTACCTAATTTCCTTAGTTTTTTCCCTTATGGCCAAGGGATAAAAATGATTTAACTGGTAACAAAATGTTAAACCACACTTATTACATTTAGTTTCTTATACACTACCGTTTAGGATTGAAAAGATTTTTTTTAATGTTTGGGAAAGAAGTCACTTATGCTCACCAAGGCTGCATCTTTTTTTTTTAACCAAAATACAGTTAAAACAATATTATTGTGAAATATCAGTACAAATTAAAATAACTGCTCTCTGTTTTAATACATTTTAAAATGTAGTTTTTTTAACATTATGGCAGAGATGAATTTTTAGCATCATTACTCCAGTCTTCAGTGTCACATGATCCTTCAGAAATCATTCTAATATGCTGATTTGCAGCTCAAGAAATATTTCTTATTATTATCAATGTTGAAAACAGTTGTGCTGCTTAATATTTGTGAAAACTGTGATACATTTTTTCAGGATTCTTTGTAACTTTATAAATATTTTATTTAAATGTATTTGAATCAGTTTAACGCTGTCTTGCTGAATAAAAGTATAAATTTCCTTCAAAAACAAAACAAAAAAACATTTGAACGATAGCATATATGCGGTAGTATACTGTATATGAAATTGCCAATAATGCTTCACCACATGGAGCTCTGGAATTGCAACAGTAAAACAAAACTTTTGGCTTTTTAATCTAAATTTCTGATACGTCCAGTAATAATAATAAAAAAACTACCAGTTTTAAGCGATCTCATCATGATGCATAATGCAAATATTTAAGTTGCTTGGCCACACAGTTTTATCTCACTGTTATTCACGAGTGCAGACATATTTTCATGACCAGGAGGTGATGCTGTTGAAGCACAGTGCAGATATCAGGAGTGCATCGTTCACAGTTTTACGTTGAACATAATTGCAGCCCAAGACTGCCGAGCATAGATTTTCATAAGCTGTTTAGGGTGAAAGTTGTATCACCTTTGATTTTCCTTTTGCTCTTTAAAGATGTTTTGACCTTCCTTATCTATTTCTTTCTTTGTACCTGGTTCTAACTTGCCACTTTCCAAAGCACTAGATCGGACTTCAAAGTGCACAGCCTCTTCGCACCCAAACACACACGGTCTCAGACGAAGGGTATTTACACACGTGTGCACCTCAGACGTGCTGTATCAGACTACAAAGTGCACCTGTTTGAAATGTTCAGCAAATATCAAAACACATACACCTGGCCTTTCATACGCCAAATCTTTTTGACCCTAGGGCAAAAAGGACGATCCAGAATGAGCAAAGAGGGTGTTGAATGTCAGTAGCATTACTATACATTTGTGTGATCACTTCAAACAGAGACTTTATAGTCTGTCCTCCTAAAGGTATACCTCCAACCTTATAGATTGTATATTTTGTGTACCTTTTGCAAAAGGCTTTAAAGAAAGGGTATGATCACATTAGTAAAGATGTTAGGTGTGTGGACTTTTTTGGGCAAAATTTGGGCAAAGCAGTAATAATTTACACTATTATTACATAAGCAATAAGATACAAGAGACCATTTACAATATATCAATGAAAACTTGTCTGTCATGTTTTTATTATGTAGTAACAGTTTCATAAAAGTGAAAAGGCACTTGATTGCATGCTAAATGTCATGCTCTCTCGTACGTATTGCTAATGTCAGTGGTTTTTTAATGTCTGTAAAAATATGGCCCAATATAATGTGTTATTATGAAGGATTTTTCCGTATAGATTTTTCACAGGTGTTTATCTGTATTTTGAAATATCATTGCATTTTGTAGTGTTTTATGGTCGAAGGAAATGTTTGGAAAATGTACTGATAATTTTCCGCCAGAACATTATCCATTTTTCTATAATTCATTTTTTCCTTACAGTGTAGGGGTGAATTTCTGGATCACATTTCACCCCAATATCAAGGGGAAAATAATGCATTATATTTTGCATTAAGAAAATAAAGCATAATTTTCCTTAATGACTTTTTTGTCATTGTAACATTATTTACCAGATTCCTAGTGGAATGACAGGATTTCGCCCACAAAATTTTAGTTGAGCAGGAAATGTGACCACGACATTTGCTTAAGCATAGAGTGTTAAAAGTCAAGTGGTGTGAAAATTAAGAATAACAGGAAAATAGGGTATTTATTGACCTGTTTTTTCTCTGTCTTTTTTTTCCCAGCATTTCACGAGGTCTCAGTGTACCCGAAGAAGGAGCTTCCTTTCTTCATCCTCTTCACAGCGGGCCTGTGCTCGTTCTGTGCCATGTTGGCCATGCTCACACACCAGTTTCCAGAGCTTATGGGGGTCTTTGTCAAAGCTGTGAGTATCTGTACGCCTCACCGAATCCAAAAGTGTGTGTTTTGTTTGTTGTTGCTTTTTGGCTTTCCTCTTGCCCTTATTATTTATTAATTTTTTTGTTTGTTTAGAAGAGAAAGTACACAATCACTGAACTCCCAAGATAAACATTTCATTGTGTTGCAATATAAGAAAGAAGTGTCAGTCAATGGAACTCTAGACGGTACAAACTGCGGCTCATTATGAGATCAATGACTGTCTGAGATGTTCTATTAAAGGAACAAATTAGGCTGTGCATTACATTTTACCACGGGTAAATGTTTTTTTCGTTAAAATTGATTTATAGTTCAATATTATTATTATTATTTATAATATTAATAATTTATTAGGATTTTCCAATTTATATTATCAGTAATATATATTTTAACTAGTTGTGTGCGTGTGTGTATGTATATATATATATATATATATATATATATATA